TCCTGACCGTACCATGGGTTTTTTGATGGTGGTCTTTGGTACCCAAGTGTTGCTTTTGCTTCAGTTTGTAGGGAGTGGGCAATTATCTGCTCTATGTTGTTATCGGGACAAGGGATGCTTTCGTCAAGCAGTTGGGTAAGTTGAGCGGTGTAGGCTTCTGCTATCTGTTGTGTTTGCAGCTTTTCGACGTGAAATTTCCGTGTTACATTAGATCGCACCTTTGTTGCTGCATTAAGACGGGCGCGTACCTCCAACAAGGTAATGGTCCGAATCGATATTCGCTCTTCGGATCAATCGGACGTCTAAAACACTGGATGAATACCTTCCGTCTATCGCAACATGATCGATTTGATTTTTCGTTTTTCGATCGGTAGAAATCCAAGTGGCCTTGTATATATCGAGATGCTTGAATCTGGTGCTGCTAATTACCATGTTTTTTGCTGCCGCGAAGTCAATCAACCACATGCCGTTGTCTGATGTTTCTTCATGGAGGCTGAATTTTCCGACGGTGGGGCCAAAGCTATGTTCCCTTTCGACTTTTGCATCAAAATCTCCTAGCAGAATTTTAATGTCATGGCCAGGGCAACGGTCATATTCTGTTTCTAGGCGCTCGTAAAATATGTCTTTGGTCTGTTCATCTTTATCTTCGGTCGGAGCATGGGCGCAAATGAGACTGATGTAGAAGAACTTTGCTTTTATACGATCTATAGCAATTCGCTCATCTACTGCAGTGAATCTGGAGATGAGGTCTTTTATTCTCCTGTTAACCATAAATCCGCAGCCACATTCACGTCTCATTTCATGTCAGCTACAATACATCTGATTTACTTACGCCAGTCCCATTCCATCGTATTTCCTGTAAGGCAATAATATCGATTTTGTACTTCTTGAGTACACCCGCCAAAGCGAACACTGGGCCTGTTTTGTACAAAGTGCATCGTGGTCCTTTATACGTTTGCGGTGGTCGTCAACTTTAGGTGGGTTTGGTTTCTTTTTCTTTGTTTTTTCATAGTAGGTTCGGTTTTCCGAGTGTGGGCAACTAACCCGACGCCTCAACCCATTTTTTTTATAGTTCTTATGGGTGAACTCGCGGCACATATTAGCTCACTATTTCATCGGGTGATGAAAATAGCTACCCCAGGTGTTACCAAGGGGTAGTCAATGTCCACAATTGAGATGAAATCAGAGCCGTTGCTTGGTATCTACCATCCGCTACGCCACCCACGCCTCTCCTTAGATCTCAAAGATAATTCATTATTTGTTTTCTCTCAAAAATAAAAATAATATCGGCATCGATAAACAATATGTTAAATTATATTCAACGACTAATATTTATGTTGATTAAATAGAATTGTCTCTTGATTCGAGTATTTATGCAAATATTTGTTTCCAAATACTTAACAAAAATATTCAAATCATCATCGTTGTCGTCATCATCCTCATCGGCTGGCTACTTGATGTCTAGTGACATAGTTATTATTATTTTTTTTATTATTCATTGGAAATATTCTCTGGAATTCTTTGTTATGGAAATTATTCGAAGTAGAAGAGAAAATATTGTTTTTGTATTTTTTTTATTGTATTGAAATTAGTAATGAATTAAATGGTTTAATTTCAAACAATGCCATTGATGGATGTATGTGGATAGATATGAATAAATAACTGGCTTTTGTATTAATTTTTATTGAAAATAATAATATTTTGATGAGTTGAAAAATATTTATTGTATTTATACCAAAGCTTTGGAAATTGCTTAACTTTGTTTTTTTTTTTGTTTAAGTATACAATTTTCTTCAAAAAATAAGTCAATATATAGGAACGTTTTCAAATAACCTTGAATAAACTTATTTAACATAATTTTTGCAAGGAGTATCAGAGGATCAGGGGATATCTGAGGCCTTGTTAGAGGCGTGGATTTTTAAAGAATACTATTTTGAGACCTTATAAGATACCTTGTTTTAAAATCTGTTTGACAAATCATTTGCATATCATTCATATCAACGGTAATTGTTTTGATTAGTCATTGCCCTGTTTTATATTTGTCAGTCTCCAAACATTTGCAGATGTATTTTAATCGTGAATGCTTTTGTTTATGAATAATTGTATTATTTTTTATAATTAAATGTTAATTTGGCGACAACAAAAATTTGGGGACGGTGAATAAACTTCCCAAATGGATTTGTGGTTTAATTCTATTTTTTAGATAAATACGCTAAACAATTGAAGCGCAGTTTGTACAAATGGTTAAAAACAGGAAAAAATCGGAAGATTCAAATTGATGGGAGTAGTCGAATTTAAAACTGACTACAACGCCATCTAACGCAATTTGGCAGGCATTGTTAGTAGTGTGGGTTGTTAAAGAATTACTATTCGAGGCCTAATAAAGGCTTGGATTTGTATAGAATTATTTTTGGGTGCCTTAACAAAGGTGTGTTTTTTTACAGAATGATTTTTTGAGACCTTCATAGAGGCGTGAATTTTTAAAATCGGCTGAAGAATAATAAAGCAGCAGGTGCCGATTGGTTACAAACCGAACTATTCAAGACTGATGGTCAGATGCTGATAAAGAGCATGATCCAGCTGATTAGTACAATTTGGCTAAAAGAATGCATGCCCAATGATTGGAACCTCAGCATTCTGTGTTCCGTGTACAAAAAAGGAGACAAGACGATATGTGCCAACAATAGAGGAGTAAGTCTCCTTCTCATCGCATATGAAGTGTTATCTAGCGTATTGTGTGAACGACTGAAGACAATGGTCAATGTCATTATTGGACCATACCAATGCGGCTTCAGACCAGGCAAATCCACCATCGACCAGATTTTCACTCTGCGCCAAATCCTGAAAAAAAACCACGTAAATCACATCGACATATTCCACCTATTCGTCGACTATAAAACCGCATTCCCTATCCGTTCAGAGGTGTATAAAGCCATGTCTGCGTTTGGCATTCCTGCAAAATGAATACGTCTATGCAGGATAACTTTCCGACTTTAACAGCAGTTAAAGTCGGAAAGGATCTCTCGAAGCTTTTTAATACCGAACGAAGATTCAGACAAGGTGACAGTTTGTCGTGTGACCTTTTTAACATCCTGCTGGAAAAGGTCATACGAGAGGCCAATGTGAACAGAAATGGCACTCTGTACACCAAACAACACATGTTACTCGCCTACGCCGATGACATCGATATAATGTTTCGAACATTACGAGCGATAACAGCCACCTTTGAACAAATTGAGAAGGAGTGGGTCAAAGTGGGTCTGGCAGTAAACGGTGAGAAGACCAAGTTGATGGTATCAACGCGCCAGACGTCCAGTAGACTCGGACCAACTGTGGAACTTGAGAACCACAGCTTCTAGGGAGTCAACGATTTTATATACATTGGTACCGCTATAAACAAAACGAATGACATCAGTTTTGAAATTCGGAGAAGGTTAGTGATGGCCAACAGATGCTACTATGGTCTGAGCAAACAACTCAAAAGCAAGGCCACCTCCCGCCAGAAAAAACTCACACTTTACCAGACGCTGGTATTACCCGTGCTGTTATATGGATCTGAAGCATGGGTACGTGCGCAAGCAGATGAGGCAGCTCTTGTAGTGTTTGAGAGAAAAAATCTCCGAAAGATATATGGGCCGATCTGCGTTGACGGTGAATATCACCGCCGAATGAACCATGAGTTGTACCAGCTATTCTCGGACATCGACATTGTTAGACGTATTGAGCTGCAGTGACTACGTTGGCTAGGTCATGTTGTGAGAATGGATGAAGATGCCCTAGCCCAGAAGGCATATAAACGCGAACCAGCTGATGGTTCACGCAGAAGGGGAAGGCCACGAATAAAATGGAAAGATCAAGTGGAAGACAAGATTGCCGAATATGGTCTTTGAAATTGGAAAAACTGCGCAAAAGACCGACGCGCCTGCGATTTTTAAGGAATAAATTTTGGAGGGCTCAAAAGAGGCGTGGATTTTTAAGGAATACTTTTTGAGACCTCAAAAGAGGAGTGCATTTTTAAGGAAGTGGCGTGCATTTTTAAGGAATGCTTTTTTGAGGCCTCAAAAGTGGCGTGGATTTTTAAGGAATACTTTTTTTAGGCCTTAAAAGTGGCGTGGATTTTTGAGGAAGACTTTTTTGAGGCCTCAAGAAAGGATTTTTAAGGATTATTTTTTGAGGAATCAAAAGAGGAATATTTTTTGAGGCCTCAAAAGAGGAGTGGCTTTTTAAGGAATATTTTTTGAAACCTCAAAAGAGGCGTGGATTTTTAAAGAATTATTTCTCCCATTTACCAATAGGCGTGGATTTTTAAAGAATTATTTCTCCCATTTACCAATAGGCGTGGATTTTTAAAGAATTATTTCTCCCATTTACCAATAGGCGTGGATTTTTAAAGAATTATTTTTTGAGACCTCAAAAGAGGCGTGGATTTTTAAAGATTTATTTTTTGAGGCCTTTACTGAGGCGTGAGTTTTTGAGAGTAGTTTTTAAGCAGTTTTAAATTTGTTTTTTTTTAATTTGCTTTTTGGATCACTCTATACACCCTATTATCTTGTTTTCGTTTTCTTTATTTGTTACAATTTCGTCTGACCCAATTTTGTGGTAATCTGTAATCTTCTTTACCTTGAAATATATGCCTAATCCTATTGTAGGGCACAACAGCAACATTAACAACAATTACCTGTTTACTCAAATCTAATGCAAATAATTAACCAATTTTATTGTTGCTTCAATTGTTTGTCTGTTAATTGCACAGAAATGCAAATTGTTGTTGCTTTTTGTTGCGATTCGGACCTGGCTAGGTTTATTGGATTTTGTTAATCATTTATTGTTTCAGTTAACAAAATTATTTCAAATCGTGTAGATTTTAATTTCATGTCAAAGGAGAAATGTTGAACTTTTATTATGGAATAACTGCTCTAATAATCCTGCAAAGTCTGACGCGGGGGAAAAGTATACCCCTAATTGGGAACGATCCAACACTCCTTGCAAAATCTCAGGAAATGTTAAAATATATGAATTTATCTGTGGATCCCTGTGAAGATTTCTATGAATATACCTGTGGCAATTGGAATCGTTATCATTCGGCCGAATTGGAAAATGAACCGGCAACGGGTCTTTTGGAAACTTTACAAAAATCTTTGGATGACAAACTCATGGAAATATTATTATCCCGAGAACCTATGGATACGGTAGTGGACAGGAAGACGAAGGATTTTTATAAATCCTGTTTAAATTTACCCAACCTGAAACAGAAATACCCACAAAAGCTAAAGAAGATAATTGCTGAATTTGGTGAAATGCCAGCCTTGGCGGGCGAACAATGGCAGGATACAAAATTTGATTGGTTGCAGACCATTGCCGAGATTGCCCATAAGTATGGTATTAGTATTATTATCGGCGCCCAGGTCTCGATAGATTTGGCTGACAACACGGTAAATCGTTTGTATATTAACGAACAGGATTTGGCCTTGGAAGAGAAGTCGGTATACAATGACAAAGAGAAGTCGATTTTGATAAAGGGTCTTCAAAATGTTGTGTCCTCAAGACTAACAAATTTCCTTGATATGGATGTGGAATTGGCCAAAGAAGTAGCCAAAGAAATTGTGCAATTTGAAACTGCCCTGGCCCAAGGGGTGGATGAATTGGAATCTGTAACAGATTTTCAAGAGATAGTAACCCTAACGACACTGGAAGAGGCTCAAACTAAATATGGCACAGAAGTAGATCTAAAAAGACTTGTCCAATTATCCTTGGGTTCCATACCCGAACTACAGGTGTATATAAGTGAAAACTATATCAACAATTTAATAGAAGTTCTGAAGACCACACCACACCGCCAAGTGGCAAATTATATTTTTTATAATTTAATTAGTAAATTTCTGGTGACAATTCCCCAGGCCAAGGCGGATCTGCAGGTTAACTGCTTAAGTGGCATGAAAGAATATTTTATCAAAATATTCGATAATATGGTTTATAGGAAATTTAAAACCGAAGAAATTGAAGAAGGTATACAACTGATGTGGCAAGAAATAAAAGCAGCCTTTAAGGACTCCCTCGAATCGAATAATTACAATTGGATAAATGGCGAAACACGTAAATATGCTGTGGAAAAACTTGAGGCCATGGAATTGGAAATTGTCTCCTACGACGATTATGATTTTGCCAGCCTCTACAAAAATCTGCACGTCGATACCAAAGATTACATAGAAAATCTCAAATCATTGTATATCCTTGGCGCCCAACAAAATCGTGATAGTATCAATGAACCACCACAGGCCATAGATTTGGGTGATGATTTGTCCACCACCCCATCCTATATATTAATTGAAAATTCCGTCAAAGTTCCCGTCACACTTCTGCAATCGAATTATATATGGTCACCACATTATCCGAATGCCTTTAATTATGGTGTGCTGGGTGCTTTACTCTCTCACGAGCTTCTACATGGTTTCGATGACACCGGACGTAGCCATGGCAAGGATGGCAACATTTTGGAATGGTGGGATCCTAAATCTCAGGAGAATTTCAACAAAAGATCACAATGCTTCAATCGGCAATATCAGCATTTTATTTTCCACAACAGACATTTACCCGATATGCCAGCTCAGGGTGAGAATATTGCCGATAATGGTGGGGTTCGTTTGGCATATTCAGCTTATATGAAATGGTTACAGGAAGTGGAGGAAAAAGACCGGAAAACTATTCGGGAATCAATGCCTGGCATGCGTTTTAATGGCAAACAATTATTTTTTGTCAGCTATGGCCAGCTGTGGTGTGGTGATGTCAACCCAGTTTATCGTCAATTACAAGAATCTATAGACACACATGTACCGGATAAATTTCGTGTTATTGGGCCTTTATCTAATTTTCCACAATTTGCCAAAGTTTTTCATTGTCCCGCGGGAAGTGGAATGAATCCCATAAAGAAATGTGAAATATATTAAATCTAATGTAAATCTAATTTGTATGTTAAATTATTTTATTTATTAAAGAAATAAATTAAAATATTATTTTAAAAAAGTACTGGGCTTCAAAAATAATTCTTTAAAAATCCTTACTTACTTACTTAGCTGGCTTGTGACAGAACTTTTGTTCCATAAACCGAGCTTAGAAAAGAATTCCAGTCGCGTCGGTCTTTTGCGCAGTTTTTCCAAATTGAAAGACCATTTTCGTCAATGTTGTCTTCGACTTGATCTTTCCATCGTATTCGTGGTCTTCCCCTTCTGTGTGAACTATCAGCTTATATGCCTTCTGTGCAGGGGCATCTTCATCCATTCTCACAACATGACCTAGCCAACGTAGTCGCTGCAGTTGATGTCCGAGAATAGCTGGTATAACTCATGGTTCATTCGACGCCGATATCTTTCGCAGAATTTTTCTTTCAAACACCCTAAGAGCTGCCTCATCTGCTTCCGCAAGTACCATGCTTCATATCCATATAAAAGCGCGGATAGTATCAGCGTCTTGTAAAGTGTTTGGTTTGGCGGGAGGTGGCCTTGTTTTTAAATGCTTACTTAGACCATAGTAGCATCTGTTGGCCATCACAACCCTTCTCCGAATTTCAAAACTGATGACGTTCGTTTTATTTATGGCGGTACCAAGGTATATAAAATCCTTAACTACCTCGAAGCTGTAGTTCTCAAGTTCCACAGTTGGTCCGAGTCTTCTGGACGTCTTGCGCGTTGATACCATCAGATTGGTCTTCTCGCCGTTTACTGCTAGTCCACTTTGGCAGACTCCTTCTCAATTTGTTCAAAAATGGCTGTTATCGCTTGCAATATCGATGTCATCAGCGTAGGCGAGTAACATGTTTTGTTTGGTGTACAGAGTGCCATTTCTGTTCAGCTTTGCATCTCGTGTGACCTTTTCCAGCAGGATGTTAAAAAGATCACACGACAAATTGTCACTTTGTCTGAAACCTCGTCGGTATTGACTATAACTGCTGACCTTGTGCCAGTTAAAGTTATCCTGCATAGCCGTATTAATTTTGAAGGATTGGCGAACGTAGACATGACTTTAAACACCTCTGAACGGATAGGGTTGTCGAATGCGGATTTATAGTCGACGAGTAGGTGGTATGTGTCGATGTGTTTTTCGTTGGTCTTTTCCAGGATTTGGCGTAGAGAAAAAATCTGGTCAATGGTGGATTTGCCAGGTCTGAAGCCGCATTGGTTTGGTCCATGTCAAATGTCATTGACCATTGGCTTCAGTCGTTCACACAGTACGCTGGATAGCACTTTATATGCGATGGGAAGGAGACTTATACCTCTATAGTTGGCACATATCGTCTTGTCTCCTTTTTTGTGCACGGGACACAGGATGCTGAGGTTCCAATCATTGGGCATGCATTCCTCTAGCCAAATTGTACTAATCAGTCTTTAGTAGTTCGGCAGGTAACCCATCGGCCCCTGCTGCTTTATTGTTCTTGAGCCGATTAATTGCTTTTATGATCTCATCTTGTCATCTATTATTGGTTCTGGGGTATCTACTTCAACGCTACTATTTGATAGAAGTTTTTCAAAATGCTTCTTCCAGATCCTCAGCACGCTGTCTGTATCTGTCACCAGGTTTCCTTCTTCATCTCCCTAGGAGGATGTGCCTGCAAAACAGCCTTCGGTTCTGTGTTTTACCCGTTGGTAGAATTTTCGGACTTCATTCTGACTCCTGTACAACTCGATTTGCTCACGCTCACGTTTTTCTTGTTCTTTCTTCTTTTTTCTGAAAATGCGTTTCTCCTTTCTCCTGTTCTCACGATAGTTCTCCATCGCATTATACCCTGCGTTTTTCATATCAGTAGCATTACGACACTCCTGATCGTACCACGGATTTTTTGATGGTGGTCTTTGGTACCCAAGTGTTGCTTTTGCTTCAGTTTGTAGGGAGTGGGCAATTATCTGCTCTATGTTGTTATCGGGACAAGGGATGCTTTCGTCAAGCAGTTGGGTAAGTTGAGCGGTGTAGGCTTCTGCTATCTGTTGTGTTTGCAGCTTTTCGACGTGAAATTTCCGTGTTACATTAGATCGCACCTTTGTTGCTGCATTAAGACGGGCGCGTACCTCCAACAAGGTAATGGTCCGAATCGATATTCGCTCCCCGGATCGATCGGATGTCTTAATAACTGGATGAATGCCTTCCGTCTACCACAACATGATCGATTTGATTTCTCGTTGTTCGATCAGGAGAAATCCAAGTGGCCTTGTGAATGTCGAGATACTTGAATCTGGTGCTGCTAACTACCATGTTTTTTGCTGCCGCGAAGTCAATCAACCTCATGCCGTTGTCTGATGTTTCTTCGTGGAGGATGAATTTTCTGACGGTGGGGCCAAAGATATTTTCCCTTACGATTTTTACATTAAAATTTCCTAGCAGAATTTTTATGTCATGGCCAGGGCAACGATCATATGCTGTTTCTAGGCGCTCGTAAAATATGTCTTTGGTCTGCTCATCTTTATATTCGGTCGGTGCATGGGCGCAAATAAGACTGATGATCGCTATGCGGATTATAGCAATTCGATCATCTACTGGAGTGAATTGCTATACGAGAACATTTTTTCCCTTTAACCATAAATCCGCATAAATCAATTCATGGCAGCTATAATACAGGGCGTATTCATCAGATTTACTTACGCCAGTCCCTTTCCATCGCATTTCCTGTAAGGCGATAATATCGGCTTTGTACTTCTTGAGTACATTCGCCAAAGCGAACACTGCGCCTTATCTGTACAACGTGCGCACATTCCAAGTGCATATTCGAAGATCGTGGTCCTTTATACGTTAGCGGGGTTCGTCAACATTAGGGGGTTTGGTTTTCTTTTTTTTTGCATTTTCATAGTAGGTTGGGTTTTCCGAGAGTGGGCAACTAACCCGACGTCTCAACCCATTTTTTATATTTCTTATGGGTGAACTCGCGGCACATATTAGCTCACTATTTCATCGGGTGATGAAAATAGCTCCCCAGGTGGCACCGCGGGGAGGTCAGTGTCCACAATTGAGATAAAGAGGGACCAAGATAAGCCTGGACTTCGCCATGTTAAAGTCAATCAGAGCCGTTGCTTGGTATCTATCATCCCCTACGCCACCCCCACGCCTGGATATAGTCCCAAATAATAATTCTTTAAAAATCCACGCCTTTGTTAAGGCCTCCAAAAATAATTCTTTAAAAATCCACGCCATTGTTAAGGCCTCCAAAAATAATTCTTTAAAAATCCACGCCTTTGTTAAGGCCTCCAAAAATAATTTTTTTAAAAATCCACGCCATTGTTAAGGCCTCCAAAAATAATTCTTTAAAAATCCACGCCTTTGTTAAGGCCTCCAAAAATAATTCTTTAAAAATCCACGCCATTGTTAAGGCCTCCAAAAATAATTCTTTAAAAATCCACGCCTTTGTCAAGGCCTCCAAAAATAATTCTTTAAAAATCCACGCCTTTGTTAAGGCCTCAAAAAATAATTCTTTAAAAATCCACGCCTCTCTATTAAGGCCTCAAAAAATAATTAATAAAAAATAATTTTTTTTAATCCTGAAGAGAGGGCTTTTCTAGCATTAAAGCATCACTTTAAAACATTTGTTTTGAAAATATTTGTTTCAAAATATAAATGAAAAAGAAAACCACAAAAAAGGTCCTCATAAACTAAAGTTTCAACCATAAACACAAAGGAGATCTCTTACCCACAAGTCAAAGACAAAGTTCCTCCTTCGTTTGGTCTGAAATAAAAATCATAACAGCTGTCGTTTCTTCCCACAAGAGACATGTCGAGGGAAAATAAAAAACAACAACAAATCGTTTCCAACTTTGATGTATGAGTTGTAAGGGGTGTGAGATGTTGTGTTGTGATGCCTTTGGATTGATTTCACAAACAAACCCACACAGCCATCCATACATATCCTTCCATACATAAACGAAAAATACTGAAAATTGACAACTCATATCAATTACAATTAGAGATGATATTATTTGGAAGGGAACAATTTTTGTTGTTGTTGAAACGAAAACATATCGATTTACAAGGATGTCTCTTTCGAATGCCATGCTTCGTCGTTGGCCACAAGACATATTGAGATCTTGATTGGGAGGGGGATGCTGGGCTGGTGTCGTTATCAAAATATGATATTTTATCTTTTGTTTTTGCAGATACCATTTATATAACATGTCTAATGGCAAATTGTATTAGTCGGAAAATGTATGGATATATGTATGCATGAATATGATAGCTTGTCTAAGGGATATGCAATGGAAGGATGTATTATGTAAAGTTAACTAACTGTAAAGTAATCGGTTCTCTGTTGTCATACGAAGTGTAAACTTATTATTTTGATGGCTAAATATAATATTTAATAAATACTTTATTACGTATATATGTATATGTAATGAATATGTGATGGAATTGTTGGTATATTTCGTGTGTATTCATTGGATATGTGATATTTGAATAAAACATTGTGGCGGCTTTATTTTTGTAACCAATTCACATAACAATCACAAGATGATAGAAAAAATATTTCGATTTAATATTTAGTTTATATAACTTAACTAGATTTATCGCAAAAGAATTTTCAAAATTTTATATTCTCATATGTATTATATATTTATTTATAAGTAAATATTTTTCTTTCAGATTTAAGTGACTTACCTTGTATAATACACCGCAGCCATTCAATATTTAACCGGTTTGAACGAATTGTCTAGTGACGTTGATACATATTCCTGGAATATTAAATATATAGGTAAGTTTGATTTAACAGCTATATACAAATAAACATATTAAATATTTTATATGCCATACTACTCTAACTTTTAGAAATAAAAAGAGAAAGGATCGTTAAATTCAACTGGGACAAAATACCAATATATAGGACCTTGAATGTTATATCGAAAATATCGAATGTATGGGACAATATAAAAACACTATCTTAAAAAACAAAAAAAACAGTTCTGTGACTGGTAAA